CCGATCATATTCTTATGCAGGTATGGAGGTGTTTATCTCGATTCCGACGTCATTGTTTTACGTTCATTATCGTCGTTAAGAAACACTCTGGGTATGGAGGATGGCGGTTCGTTGAATGGTGCAGTCATGGCGTTTGATAAGAAAAGGTCGTAACACTATCAAGACTTTAACCATTTCTGTTTTCGACATTCTGACAGCCATTAACTCTTAAATCTTCGGTATATTGTTATTATCGGATCTGCAGCCCGTTCTTGCTGGAATGCTTGAACGAGTACTACATGACATACGATGACAAGTGTTTGAGATGTAACGGGGCCGATCTCCTGACAAGAGTGGGGAAAAGGTTTATGAACGGAAAGAAGAATCGACGGGATATGAATCAAGAAGGGTTGAAGGTTCAGCCGTCGTCTGTTTTCTTCCCGATCAGTTCACGACAGATAGCCGGGTAAAAAAAAGACCGGCAACTGAAAACTTTCGAACGAGATTTTTTTCGACAATGGCAGGCAGATTCTTTGTTCTAACTTGAAAAACTTGAACTGGGCGCAGATATTTTGCATCGCCTGCAGCAGAAGCCGAGAAATCTCAGCAAGATGAACTGATGGAGAAGATTACGAAGGAATCGCTCACGTTCCATCTATGGAACAGCGTAAGTTCATCGCTTATCCCTGAGCCTGAAAGCCTCGTGGCCAAGTTCATCAATCACTCTTGTATCCGATGCTCTGATGTATTATAATAATAGTTCTTGGTTTTTTTTTTCCGACATAGAAACCATTTTTTTTTGGCAGAAAGTATTTAGACATAGACATGATCATCATCCCCTGTTTGCTTTTACCACATCATTCTTCATGTTAGGGTTTAGTAGATCTCTGGTGCATTTTCATGTCGCTGCCTAGAAGTGGCCATTTTGAGGTTTCAATCCATTCGGGTTCGATTCGGTTATATTTGGTTATAGATAAATTATAACCATTCGTTTTTAATATTACTTCCTGGTTCGGTTAAGTTCAATTTATTTTGGATTCGATTTTTTACAAGTAAAATGTTCATTTTTTTTAAAGAAATTGTTGGGTTTTTTTATTCATTTTGGTTCGGATTTGGTTTTCTCGGATTTAGAAAATTTATAACTTTTCGGTTTTTATATTGGATTCGGTTTAATTACGATTATATATTATTCGGTTTGGTTCAATTCGATTCGATTATTTCATTAATGACAAAAATGACTATCTCTATTGGTGCATTTTATTCATAATTAAAAAAATAGGCATAATTACATAATGAATATAAAATATACTTTTAGAATTATTTAGTATTTGACTTGGAATTTGTTCCATCCACCTTTATGTCTTATTCAATGGAACATTTTATTCTTCTTTCTTTTTCTTCGGTACCATCCAATCGTCTATTCCTTATGCCTTGCTTTATTATGTAAGCTATACAGCAAAATCTCTCTGTGGTTTAGATTTATTCGCCCACTTTCTCTAATACGACGAAAAAAAATATTAAGCTTAAAAATATTCTATTTTAAAAATATAAAGATTAGTAAAACTCATATCATATTTCTATTGGACCGCGTGTGTTGAATTGTGGATATCTAAACTATACCATATATTCTCTTTATTTTCTATTCAAAACAAATGAACCTTCAAAAGAACTCTAGTCTCGTTTCAATTTAAACATCCACCGGTATCGGTTCCAAGAGATCAATACAACTTGACTTATGTATATATACAAACAGAAACCGTCAAATTCTATTGATGTTGGACCAAATATCTAGAACAAGATATTGGATTGGTTTATGTATGGACCGAAATAATGAATATTTGAGTTATATTAATCTAGTAATTGGTTATAACCAAGACTAGACCACGGTTGTTCGGATTTTTTTAGGGTATCCGGTCTCAATCTTAGTCTCATCAGGTTATTGGATGATAATGTTTCGATCTCAGTCTCACGAGTTTCGAGTATCCGTGATTTTGATACCCATAAGATCGGATATCCATCGAACCCGAATACGTAAATATTAAATAAAAAATTTTGAAATAGATCCTATATAATCGAATGCTAGAAATATTTCATATAACATTCATCCAAAATATATAAATTTGAATCTGAATTTGTAAAAATCAACAAATCTTCAACTGAGCTTCCAAATAAAACATACAATATTTTGGCAAACAAATATATAAAAAAGAAATGATATTTTGTAAATATATAAGTTAATTAGATACTTGTGAGATAATCCGTCATGAAATAATGAAATTCATATCCGAACTTGAAACTCAAGTTTCTTGTATCTTAAAAACCGATATCAATCTCATTATCATCATGTGAATAGTTAAACCGGGTACACACGAGGTAGGATATTTGAAAACCCGCGAGTCTTGGGTAAAAATACCCATCCTAGTTATAGAGACTAATTAACAACCATTTAATTTTCTATGCAAAATGACGAAATTCAAAAGAGAAAATACTAAATTGAATCAATTTGAGCATCGACTATCAAATTCCATACATCGGGAATTTCAAACTTATCGCATTACAAACCTCAGTCCACTCGCTTAAAATCTTATTCACACACACACACACATATATATATATAACATATCGGATAATCTATCGATCATAAATTAGGTTGAAGGCCGGATTATTGCTCTATAAAGTTGCCCATCAATCTATACATATATATATATATATGTATCACATGGACTTAGTGCGATTTGGGGCGAATGGCAACACCTTTGACGAAGAGGCCCTTCTTCCAAGTGCCGGAATCATGCTCGTACATCGAGAACCTGATTTCTCCGGCGTTCTCCGACGACGGCACGAACTCTCCCGCCGGAATATCGAGCCACTGGTACCTCATCTTCTCTTTCAGGATCACTTTCCGGTCAGATATCTGCTGTCCGGAGGGAAGCGTGAGCTTCACGTTAACCGGCGTGTCCCATCCGTACGCCGGATCTTCCAACTTCACCACGAACACAACCTCGTACGTTGTTCCCGGTGTTAGATTCACCGTCTCGAATTTCCCGCTTATGTCCAGCCAACACACGTTTTTCAGCTCCACCCCTTCGACGAGCGTGTCGCTGTATATTAATACACGAATTTGTGAAAAAACCCTCTAAATAAATGCATGAGTTTTAATTTATTTTTAAAAAATACAATACTCTTCTAAACTTCTATACAAAACTTTTAAACGGTTTGCAAAAATCATAATATCATGGTGGTTTTTGGAAACTGTTTAACATTTTATGGTTTAATTTCATTATTTTTTAAAAGTAATTGAGAGTTTAATGCATAACTTAGGAAAAGTTTATATATTTATGTGGTAATATCAATTAAAGTTCGTGTATTTTATTTGAGTTTGTATGGTTAATATGTGATTTACCCTAAAAGTAATAACAATTTCGATTGAGAAAGGTAAGATGTTTACTTGGGAGTGTCCTTGAAAGAGAACCATGTCCAGTAGGTCGTGTTTTCAGACCAAGTGATGGACAGATCTCTCGCGTAGACCATGAAACAGTTGCTGCTCGAGCTCCCCTCCACCCAATATTTCTGATATATATATATATATATATATAGATCAAACATCAATATATAATAATCAAAACCCAGAATTTAATACATATATACATATGTGTTTATATGTGTGACCTGTGTCTTGTTCTTCAAGAAAACACCCTCGTGGAGGCGATCGATGAATTTGTCCGGGGACAAGCCCGCGTTTCTCAGAATGGCCTCGCAGTTATGCGGGAGCTTCGATGTCCGTACGACGCTCCTCTCCGCCTCGGCGGCGGCGGCGGCGTCGGCAGAGGCGGGGGATAGGATGTGTTTGCACGGCGGATGCTTTGCTTCGCCGTCTCTCTTCGCCGGAGCTCCGGCGTCTATGATCGGCATCTTTTTAGCTAGTTTGAAATGCCACATTTTATTTTGTTTTTGGTTATTTTCTTGATATATTATAACAAAAACTATAAGAAGATATAGAGATGTGGAGGTCGTTTGAGTTTTACATTTTTGGCATTATGTATTTATAAACTTGGATTTATTCTGTTTTTTTATTTAATATCAACTTGGATTTTTTTTTTATGTGCAGTCTTGTCCAATGGATACGTTCTTTCTTTAATAATTATGTCTAATGCGTTTAGAATATAATAGCTTTGTTACACATATATTCCTCTCTTAAACCCTTGAATTTTTGTTCTATGTAATTTCTAATTAACCGATTATTTCAGACCACGTCTAAAAAATCAAATAAAATTCAGTCTTAATACTAAAAAAAGTCTAACAATTGAACAACAAACTTTACCAAAAAAATACATCCAACTCTTGAAATCGAAAACAATTTCATACACGACTTATTTTCGATTTCAACTTTACCAAAAAAAATCTAATAATTGTTTTCGATTTCAAGAATTGATATGTTTTTTATATATATTTTAATATTTGGTGTATTTATTTATCAAAATTTGGTAAAAAATTTTTTGCATAATTTTATGTAAAGTTACAAAAAAGGGATTTTCCAAAAAAAAAAAACACATTGTCTTCTATTGTGCGCACTCGTCCGGACCGCACTTCACTACAGAATTGAATCTTTCAAGGAGAGGGGAATGATTCGATGCTTCGCGTGGATACCACTGAGTGGTGCTCCAAAATTTGCACCGTCCGTTCAACATCTGTCATCACGTTCTAGAAGCTCAACGGCGATCAGTTCTGTCGTATATCTATACATACGCCTATATACTTGTTTCTATTTATATGTATCCACGGCGAATTCCCGTTTCATTTTTGGTCCCACGGTTAATATTGCATGGTGGATTTAAAAATATCCTATTACGTTTTTTTTTTTGGTTAAAATATCCTATTAAATTAAATTCGCATAATGATATAACACAGAAGAAAAACGAAAAATTGAAAAAAAAAACATATCTTTATCCGTAAGATAAAAACTATAGTTGTCTAGTTTGGAATTATCTTTGGTCTTCTTGGAATTTCATTTAAATCCGCCAAAGGCCATAATAATGCCGTTATATATTTAATTTAAAATTAAATGAATAATAATGATGTGACAAATTGATACTATGTAGACATAATTCAGTCGAGCCAAATCACCTTTTCCATTTCCGTCGTCATCAACATCACGACACGGGAGTTTTTAAGTTACTCGTTTAAAAATATAAAATTTTATCAGTTAACTGAATAAAGTTCACAATTTATTTGATAATAAAAAAAGTATAGAGTTTTTTTATTGATCCGGATAAAATACGTTCTTTTGGCGGTTATAAAAAAATAATTTTATTTTGCATCTATTTTTTAATATTTTTCTCTCAATTCTCTTAAAAAACATCTACAAATCTAATATTCACTTATAATACAAAAAAATAAAGAACAATCAATTTAAAGATATTTAAGTGTTATAATTTTTTTAAGAGATTTTATTTTTTTATTTGTTTATCAGTTTCTGTATTTTGATCATACTCAAAAATTTGTTATATATATATAGGGAAAATGACAAAAACCCACACAGATTATACCAAATGTGTAAAATTAGTACATCAATTTTTAATTTGACAAAATCTCCCATCCGATTTCAAATTTTCCCAATTTCCATCACATATTGTTTGGAAAATTTCCAATTACCACCGAAAAGGGAATTGACTCTGCCACATCAGCGTTTGATGGCTGATGTGTCACCATTCAGGATAAATGATGCCACGTCGGATGACACGTCTCATGTCACGTCACCAATTCGGTTATTGAAATCGGTTCATTTAATTAAACCGGTTTAGGAAAAACCGATTTTTTTTTTAAAAAAAAAGAGGATTTAGGGTTTCGAATTCGAAACCCTAAATCAGAAATCGACATCACATCCTCTCTCCTCTCCTCTCCTCTCCGCTTCTCTCTCGTCGGTGCTGGGAAACTCCTCCACTGGGACGAGCTCCGGCAAAGCTCCGACTTGTGTCGGTGTTGCTCCGGCGCAGATTCGACTCGTGTCGGTGGTTCGGTCGTGCTTCGCTGTTTCGAGCCTTCTTCGGTGTTTCGATCTTGCATCTGGTTCGATCGTGCATCGTGTTTTGCCTGCTTGTGTTTTGGCAGGTACATCAATTTTCTTTTTTGAATGTGGTTTCTCATTTGTTCGCGCTTTTCCAGATTCGATCCTGCATTGTTGTTCTGTTTTCATCGGTTATAAGTTTCGATTATGTGATGAGAATGCATTGTGGTTTTATGTGTGTAGAATGAGTTGTAAATCCGAAAGCAGTTCGAAATACAGTGGGAGTTCTAATAACCATAGAGCTGAAGCTATACCGGCGAAGGGATTCCCCCAAAAATGCGAATGTGGAAGTCGTATCGTGAGATTTACTTCAAAAATAGACAACAATCCCGGAAGAGTATTTTTTCGATGTGCTAATCAAGAGGTATTGTGTATAAAACATGATTTATTTACGTATAAACATTGGTTGATTTTATACCTTTTAATCTTGTGTTAGGGTAGCAAAAAGCATGTTTTCAAATGGTTTGATGAAGCTACGATGGAAGAAATCGAGAAATTGAAAGATGGCTTTGAGTCAGTACAAAGAGTAATGGAGAAATTGGTATGCAATGGTGAAGAGGAAAAAATCGAAGCATTGACACATGAGTTGGAAATTTACAAAGCAAAAGTGGAAAAAATCGAAGTCTTGGCTAAGGAGTTGGAATTCTACAAAGCTAAGGTGGCACAAATTGAAGCGGATAAATACAAATTTGTGTTTGTCTTAGTAGGAATTGTTATGTTTTTATACTACTATGGTTTACCTCGACTTTAAATTTGTGTTTGTTACTTGGGTTTGTTACAAGGGTTAGTATTATTCTCAGTTGTTTATTCTCAGTTGTTTTGGTAGTATGATTCTCAGTTGTTTTTGTTTGAACATTGGGTTTAATATTTTGGTTAATATTCTCGGTTGTTTTTATATGAAATATTGGTTTTAGTAAGTACCGCATTTCGTGATTTTGTGTACGAATAAATTTATGTGTCCCTGCCATGAATCTGGTTTCCTACAAGGTTCAAAGCTTTGAGCTTTGGGAATGCAGAACCAAAACCATCAGGCAGAGACCCATCAATGGATACCAAAGATTGGCTTCAGGGATTTCACCAGAAAAATTGTTGTGGCAGACGTCAATGGACTCGAGCAAGACGAAGTTACCAACATTGTTGGGGAAAGACCCAGAAATCTGGTTGAAAGAGAGGTTTATATTGTTCTGGTATGTTGTTCTGGTATGTCAACGGTTCACCATTGACAGGGTTTATATTGTTCTGGTATGTTGCTTGCCATGTTGATTTCAAGAAATAATGAGAAACATACATGCAAAAAAATTTAAAGTGAGTCACTGTTGGTGAGCAAGCTGTGAGTTGGATCAAGGCATGTCCACCACGTGTTTGAATAAAAGTCAGATGATAAGATTAGGAAGTTTATTATTGTTAGTTTTTCTGAAGCAGTTATTTGTATGTTGCAGTTTTTTTCCAGAACATATTTATGTAATGTTTCGATAGATGGCGTAATATGATAAACATTAATTAAATTCTTCTTCTTCTCAAGAATTTTCTATTGATAAATACAACCCAGAAATCTGTTAATTTTGGGTGTTAAATCTAGGGGTGGCCATTTCGGGTTTCGGTTCGGGTTCGGTTCGGTTATATTCGGGTTCGGTTATTTCGGTTATAGAAAAACTATAACCATTCGGTTTTTATATAAATTTCGGTTCGGTTATTTTTCGGTTCGGGTTCGGTTCGGTTTTGGTAAAAAGTTCAATTTTTCAAAGAAAATTGTCGGTTATTCTCTCGGTTTTTTCGGTTATTTTTTATTCGGTTCGGTTCGGTTTCGGTTTCGGTTTTTCGGGTTTAAGGAAATCATAACCGTTCGGTTTTGATGTCGGGTTCGGTTCGGGTACGGTTATGTCTTATTCGGTTCGGTTCGGTTCGGTTATTCGGTTAATAACCGAAATGGCCACCCCTAGTTAAATCAGTAACAGAGGATAATGCGTGGGAATTAACAGTGGTATCAGAGCAAGCTTTGGATCTTGTGGGATCTGTGATCATTTTTCCAGAAGTTATGGATCAAGCCGAGACTTCAAGAGCAACGTTTCAGACCCAGAAACCACCAGTTTTCAACGGTGAAGGCTATCAGATTTGGTCAGTTAGAATGAAGGCTTTCTTAGAGGGAACTGATCTCTGGGAGCCAGTGGAGGAGGATTACGAGATTCCTCCCCTAGGCGCGAATCCAACCGTGACTCAGATGAGGAATCACAAGGAGAGAGTTACCAAGAAAGCAAAAGCAAAGTCCTGCATTTTTTCTGCAGTAACACCATCAGTCTTGATCAAGATTATGAAGTTGGGATCTGCAAAACTTATGTGGGATTTTCTGAAAAGTGAGTATGAAGGGAATGAGAAGATAAGAAGTATGAAGGTGCTGAACCTGTTGCGAGATTTTGAAAGGCAACAGATGAAAGAGGAAGAATCTGTGACAGATTATGCAGATCGATTGGTAACCATAATCAACAATGTTCGAATCCTTGGAACAGATGTTGCTGATGAGAAGATAGTTCAGAAATTGTTGGTTTCGGTTCCAGAAAGATTTGAAGCCACCATTGCAACCTTAGAGAACACAAAGGAGATTTCTGCAATGAAGTTGCCAGAAATCTTAGGTGCTCTTCAAGCACAGGAGCAGAGGAGGCTGATGAGGAAGGAGGAGTCGGTCGAAGGGGCATTGATGGCTAAGGCGAAGGGAAAGAAGGCTGAGAAAACCAAGAAGAAGAAACAGAAATCTGATGCAGAAGGAAAGAAACAGACAAGTGCTATGTCGGTAGCAAATGCAAGCCATAGTTCCACCGAGCCTTGCAAACATTGCAACAAGACCAATCATCCTCATTGGAGATGTTGGAGAAATCCGAATGTGAAGTGCCGAGCTTGTAAAAAACTTGGACATATCGAGAGATTCTGCAGGAATAAGGGTCATCAAATCGCTGAAGCCAAACCTGTAGAAATGATCGATACAGAAAACTTATTCGTTGCTACATGTTATGCTTCAGGTGCTGATAAGAGTGGATGACTTGTGGATAGTGGCTGCACTAACCACATGACTGGTAATAAAAGTTTGTTCAAGAGGCTCGACACATCATTCAATTCAAAGGTCAAGATAGGAAATGGAGAACATATTGCAGTAGAAGGGAAAGGTGATGTATGCATCAAAACTGCTGATGGAAACAGGATTCTATCTGAAGTTTTGTTTGTTCCTGAGATAGACCAGAATCTACTAAGTGTGGCTCAGTTATTATCAAAGGGATACAGAGTTGTGTTTGATGATGAAGAGTGTATCATAGGGAATGATACTAATCCTGTTCTGTTCAAGATCAGGATGAAGAATAAGAGTTTCTCGTTTATACCTGATACTAGTGGGGACAAGACAATGAAATCACAGATGATGGAAGAGGATCTCTGGCACAAAAGGTTGGGACATTTTCACGGGAAAGGTCTGGTGCAAATGTCAAAACTCAACATGATCAGGGGTTTGCCTGAATTTCAGAACGATGAAGCAGTTTGTAAGACTTGTCCTTTGGGAAAACATAAGAGGTTACCGTTCAACTCATCTAGTTGGAGGGCAAGCGAGAAATTACAATTGATTCACACTGATGTTTGTGGTCCAATGCCTGTGGAATCTCTCACGGGAAGCAGGTACTTCATAATTTTCATTGATGATTATTCTCGCATGTGCTGGATTTACTTCATGAAGCTAAAGTCTGAGGTTGATGGAATTTTTGAAAAGTACAAGAATGAGGTTGAGAATGAAAGTAATAAGAAGATCAAGGTGATTAGATCTGATAACGGGACTGAATATACTTCTGCAAAGTTCAGAAAAATTTGTGAAGATGCAGGAATCAAGCACCAATACTCTGTACCTTACTCTCCTCAGCAAAATGGGGTGAGTGAGCGGAAGAATATGACAATAATGGAGATGGCACGGTGTTTATTGCTCGAGAAGGGTCTGCCAAAACGTTTCTGGGCAGAGGCATCAAGCACAGCAGTGTTCTTACTAAACCGACTTTTGACAAAGGCTCTCGACAAACAAACTCCGTTCGAAGTCTGGTCTGGTAAGAAACCAAACTGTGAAAATTTCAAGGTGTTTGGTTGTGTATGTTTTTCATATGTTCCTGAAGTTAGGAGAGATAAGTTGGATACAAGATCAGAAGTGGGAATTTTCGTTGGGTACAGTTTGGTTTCAAAAGCTTATCGAATCTACTTACCAAACTCAAGAAGGGTTATTGTAAGTAGGGACGTTAAGTTTTTAGAAACTGAGAGGTGGGATTGGTCCAAAGACAAAATCTCGCCAGGAGATTGAAGATGAACCAGATGATGTTCCAGTTAGAGGTACCAGGTCACTAACAGACATCTATGAAAGGTGCAACATAGCTGTCATGGAACCATCTGGTTATGAAGAAGCAAAGGTTGATGAGAAGTGGAAAATAGCTATGGAAGAAGAATTGAGAATGATCAATAAGAACAAAACTTGGTCTCTTGTTGACAGACCAAGAAACAAGAAAGTCATCGGGGTAAAATGGATTTACAAAACAAAGTTCAACCCCGATGGAACAGTAAATAAATTCAAGGCCAGGCTTGTGGTGAAAGGGTATGCTCAAGTTTGGGGTGTGGACTACTCAGAAACATTCGCTCCAGTGGCTCGTATGGACACGATCAGACTATTGCTGGCACTCTCGGCACAAATGAAGTGGAAGGTGTTTCATATGGATGTCAAGTGGCGTTTCTGAATGGAGAATTAAAAGAAGAGACATGCGTTGAACAACCAGAAGGATTTACAATCAAAGGAGAAGAAGAGAAGGTATATTTGTTGAAAAAGGCTCTTTATGGTTTGAAACAGGCTCCAAGAGCCTGGTATGAGAAGATGGATCAAAGTCTTCGAAAACTCAGCTTTGTCCGAAGTCTGAGTGAACACACTATGTATGTCAAGAAGGGAAAACAAGGTATGGTAGTTGTATCTATATATGTGGATGATTTGCTCGTGACTGGTGGAGATGAAGCAGAAATAGAAGACCTGAAGATGTTCTTGAGCAAAGAATTCGAGATGACAGATCTCGGACTTATGTCTCAGTTTTTGGGTTTGGAAATCTCTCAATCTGAAGAAGGGATTTTCATCTGTCAGAAGAAGTATCTCAAGCAGATATTGGAACGTTTCAATATGGAGCATAGCAAGAGCATGAGAACCCCATTGGAGCAGAAAGCAAAGCTAAAGAAGTTTGAAGAAAGTAAATCAGTTGAAGAGGGATTATACAGAAGCATGATCGGATGTTTGATGTACCTAACGGTTTCGAGACCAGATATCTTGTATACCGTTAATGTGCTCTCACGTTATCTGAGTTATGCTAAGGAGGAGCACCTAATCACTGCGAAAAGAGTTCTAAGATATCTGAATGGAACTCGTTCTCTTGGAATCAATTTCTGTTCAGTGCAGAATTTTGGTTTGGAGGGTTTTGTCGACAGTGATTGGGGAGGATCAACAGAGGACATGAAAAGCACTTCTGGATATTGTTTCACACTTGGTTCATGGTGTTTTTCATGGAGTTCGAAGAAGCAGAGTATAGTGGTGCAGTCCACTGCAGAGGCGGAATTTGTGGCTGCAACCGAAGCAGCAAATCAGGCCATCTGGCTTAGGAAGATTTTGAAGGATTTGGAGACAGAAATCAAAGGAGCTACAAGAATTCAGATAGACAATCAGGCGGCAATAGCTATTTCGCAAAACCCGGTGTTTCATGGGAAGACAAAACACTTCAAGATCAAGTATTATTTCCTTAGGGAAATTCAGCAAGAAGGAGAGATCAGTTTGGTTTACTGCAAGTCGGAAAATCAGAAAGCTGATTTGTTTACTAAGTCATTTCATGCCAGCAGGTTCGAGATATTAAGGGAGAAGATTGGGATGTATTCGAGGCCTTAATCCAAGAAGGAGTATGTTGGTGAGCAAGCTGTGAGTTGGATCAAGGCATGTCCACCACGTATTTGAATAAAAGTCAGATGATAAGATTAGGAAGTTTATTATTGTTAGTTTTTCTGAAGCAGTTATTTGTATGTTGCAGTTTTTTTTCAGAACATATTTATGTAATGTTTCGATAGATGGCGTAATATGATAAGCATTGATTAAATTCTTCTTCTTCTCAAGAATTTCCTATTGATAAATACAACCCAGAAATCTGTTAATTTTGGGTGTTAAATCAGTAACAAAGGATAGTGCGTGGGAATTAACAGTCACCAATATATTGAATATATGCTAAACTGTATGATTTTCCTAACCTGGAGAGTTTGTCTCGAGTCACTTTGATTACAACAATGGCATGTTGACAAGGTATACCCATCAATTGCCATCTCCGACAAGCACATTGATTTGCAGACAAATCAACCGTGTAACTAACACCAAACTCAGACACCTCATATTTTCCCTGTCCACTTTTTATGATGTGACAATGTTGAGCTCGGGTCAACATGGTGTCCAACTTCCTCATAAACCTAGGTGTGAACTCAGTTTTACACCTTTCAGCTTGACGTGCTCGTCGTGAGTTACGTTGCATTGCTTTTCTGCGGATTTCCTCAAGCATATCAATTAGTGGTCGTAGACGGGCATTTCTAATCGAACCATTAAAACTCTCCGACAAGTTGTTTTGCACTGCATTGCAACGAGACTCGGGATTGAAAAATGCCCTGCACCACTTCCTAGGATTAGCCCGCATAAAGGCTTCATACGCCAATGGATTGTACCTTCTAATGTCAAGGGCGTATCCTTCAAACTCACGGACTAGGTAGCATTTTGCAGCCTTCCAGAATAGCAACTTCAATTCGAGATCCTTGAATTTCTTCTTGAAATTCGCAAATATATGACGTGTGCACATCCTATGCTCGGACATAGGAAGCTCGTTTTCGACTGCAGTCACTAACCCCTGGAAAACAAAAGCAAATGCAATGATATTTAACACATTTACAAAGTGTAAAAAGATAGTACTTTCATCAAAAAATGATATATCAATTATCTTTTGCTTGTCGGACATTATAGTCAGACCCTTTCCATCATCCAATCCCAAATTTAATCGCAATTTCCTCACAAACCAGGTCCACGTATCTGTATCTTCGATACGTACAACTGCTCAAGCAATAGGGAACATGTCGTCATTGTCATCCCTTCCAACAGCAGCCAGAAGTTCACCCTTCATCTCCCACTTCAAAAAACAACCATCCAAACCAATTATAGGACGACAATGTGCTTTCCAGGCATCTCGTAACACTCCAAAACTCACGTAGAAACGGTCGAATACTCCCTGACGCTTTGCCACTTTAGCTAATCCGACTTATGTAGTGATATTAGGATTTGACCGAATGAGCTCTAACTCATAGTCTCACAGTTTCTTAAATTGAATATGAGGCTCTTCCATCACCATTTTCAATGCAATACGTCTTGCCTTAAAACATTTACTAAGAGTGACCGTCAAACCATAGCATCTTTGAATGTCAATCTGCATTTTCTCAGCTGTGAAGTTCAGCTCTGTTCTAATCCTATCTGCATACAACCTCGCAATTTGACGCATTGTCAACAGACTTGCATAAGTATCTTTCTCGTGGTTATGATCATCCTTATAAATTTTGATCATCCACTTGCTTATAAGGACCTCAACCGAGCAATAAACCCTCCACGGACACCCTACATTGCAACATATAGCTTCCAATTTCGTCTTATCCCACCTTGACAACTTCACATTGAATTTTTTATCCAACACATAATCAAATAATGCTTTCTTAAACTCTTCCCCTGAGTTGAAAGTTCTTCCAAGATATAAAAACTCATTTGAGGGAAAAGATGAGTCTTTCTTTCTTGGTGGATTATCAAAGTTTTCCCATTCTTCATCTGTGTTTTCTGGGGTTGGTGGAATATTTCCATCACTATCTATATACTCGTCAGATGAGCGATCACCATTCCACTCATCTCCATCATCATCACCAACCGGATCACATGGGATTTGTTCAACAAAATCATCACCATCAAAATCAAAATTATCA